TGACCGTCCCCCCACCTCGCGCCCCACTCACTGCTGACGAGGCAGCCCGTCTAGACCCATCTCCCGCAGTACGTACCCGCACACTCACACTCCGTTCTTGTGGCCACTATTCCATCTGTGCTTCTGACCAAAAATTGACCAAAATTTAAACAAAAAAAACAAGTGTTTTAGAAGGATACTAAAGAAGTCTGGGGAACAGCCAAGTGTCCCAACGAGCTGGGCGGGACCGGGGCCTGTGTTTGGGGGGGTGGAGCCCGGCCCCCCCCCAACCGCCGGGGCACCCCACCTCCGACCAGGAGCCCCAGGGTCGGCCTCCGCTGCAGGAAGGGGGCCCGCGGTGCCCCCAGGACAGAGCCCCCCACCCCCAGTGCTCTACTTTCTTGTCTGATCTTTGTTTTTAGCAACCAGGACGCCCTTCTTCCTTTTTTTAAATGGTCTTTGTAGTTGATTTGTCCGAACTGTGGCTGTTGTGCACTCTCTGAATAATCACTTGTGAAACTGTCGCTGCTCGAAGCTACTTCCTTGACTCAGGAGCGACTGTGCCGGTCTGGGTCCTGGTGCGGCTCCAGGAGCAGGTGGGAGGGGCCCAGGCACGGACTCGGCACGGGGGGGCTGCCCTGGGGTCCTCGATTCGGCTTTGATGTGTCCCTTGACAACCGTGACTAACCGTATACATTCCTCGGAAATAAAGAGAATCTGAATTGTTAGGACGTCTCCAGTCGTGTCTTCCCCGGGGAGGGAACATGGGGGCAGAGGCACCGCGGCCCTGCGGTTTCTGGGGACAGAGCCCCAGCCTGACACCTTGTCCTCGGGGCAGCAAAGCCAGCACATCCCACAGCACTCGCAGCCCTCGTGCTCTGCTGGGGCGTCCGTCCCAGCCCCTGCCCTGAGCAGCAGGAGGTACGTGTATACAGGGGCTGGGGGGGCCCAGGAGCAGCCGGGCCGTGGTCTCCGCGTGACTTCCACAAAGAACGCGCCCCCCCGCACACTGCCATTCCTGCCACAGTCTCTACCACATCCGTCCGACCTTTTTAGAAGCGCTGTCTACACAGTCAATGTAGAGTCTCCTTCCCCATCCGTGACAGATGGGACAGCTGAGGCCAGGAGGGCCAGTGACAAGTTTGGGGGCACATTAAGGACCACAGCTGTGTGTGGATGTCATTCGTGGTCCTCCGAGACCCAGGGCTGAGTCGGCTGGACAACTTCTGGAGACGGGGAAGGAGATGTCCCCCCTGCAGGGACGTCTGGGGACCCCTCAGGCCACTCCTGCCCCCCATCCCCGCCGGAGGAAACTGTACCCAAGTCTTCAGGACACAGCCCCTTTCACAACGAACGCGAACGCCAGCCCCCATGCGGAGGGGACGAGCCGTCTCCGCTGCCCACGCAGAGGGGCTGGACACAGGTCTGCCCGTGGGAGCGTCATCAGCCGGCACCGTCTGTTCCCATCGCCCTGCCTTCCTTCAGAGGCCACAGCTGAGCGCCGCTGCCGGGTTTGGGACCAGAGCAAACCAGGGTTCTGGGGACAGGGCGGCCTCCACATAGACCACAGCCTTGACCACCCCGTGCCCACGCTGTGAGGAGACCCCGGCCGACCCTGCCTCTGGGGCCCTTGTTTAAGAGTCCCCCGCCCCCCAGGAGCTATTTCTGGGCCTTTAGGCCATTTCTTTCCCATCCGCTGAGTGCCCTTGTCAGGGACTGGTCACAGCCACGGTCACTGCTCCCCTCCCATCCTTGTGCTTTCGTGCCTCTGAGCCTTGTTTCTCCAGCCCCGCACCCCCCCGTGGTTCCCACATGTGCCACACCTGACCACCAGATACAACAGACAAGACAGGTTTGGAAACAATTTTCTTTACGAGTATCTTGAATTCCTAAGGGGTCCGGCCTGAGGCGGGTTAGACCCATGCAAATACTCCAGAAGCACAGAGAAGGGAGGCCAAGGCTCGTGTGGGGGGACGAGGGCTCTGAGCGCGTGGGTGAGGCGTCCTAGCGACAGCTCCTAGACCTACAGTCCCTCAGGAGCCGTGTGACACTCTCACTCGGAAACATGCGGCCAATTCTCACTCCAGCCTGGGCAAGTGACCGGCCGGCACCCGCTGGGCTGAGGGATGACGTGGCCACGGCCCCTAGAAGCAGAGGCTGAGAGGGAGCCGACTGTACTCTGGCCGGGGACCGACTCAGAGATGCCCCTTACTTTCCCACAGCCTGCGCCATGGCCCAGCCGTGCAGACGGCTCAGCTGAGCGAGTCTCCTGTCGCCAGGGGCCCTTCCCTGCAGGCTGTCCCCGGGGCTGGGAGGAGACGGAAGTCGGGCCCAGATGCTGCCCAGAGCAGCCCCTGCCTCTCCCCTTCCGGCAGGCGCGGCCTTCCTCTTCCTCTGCAGGGCAGGGTGGCTGGGAGACCGCCTTGCGTTTTCGGTAACTCCTAACTCCGCGCAGCTGCGGCGGAACGACACGCCGGGCCACCAGGACCCTGCTCTCCTGCGACAGCCCCTAGCGTCAGGGGCGGGCGGCGTGCGTTGTCCCGCTCGCTACTCGGGCAGCGTGGTTTGCAGATGGAGACGATGCCCGCCCGCTTCCCCAGCGGCCCCTCCCAAGCCCCCCTCGCTCAGGCTCCCGCTCCAGGGTCTGAACCGCCCTCTCCAGACGCGGCACGGATTCTCTGCAGAGCCGGCCCCTACGGAAGGGGCAGGGAGCTTCCCCGACAACACCAAGGGAAGAGAAGGAACGATGCTTGTCCCAAGATTCCCAGCGCCCCAGGGCTCGAACTGTCCCCACGCGGGGCATCACCTCATCTGAGCGGTGGGCCTCCTCCCTCCGCCCCTGCCCTCTCCCTCCTGCCGCTGGCCTGGTCCCCTTGGAGTGGGAGGCACCACCCCAAAGGCCCTGCCCAGCTAACCCGGTCCAATGCGACCTTCTGTCACCGTGGCCTCAGTGGGCTCTGCTGTCCCCAGGTCACCAGCGGGAAGGAGCAAGGTCAGAGCAAGGGGCTTTCCTGAGTTGCAGCAACCCCCCTTCCAGCCTCCCTGGGGTCTCCTTACACGTCAGAGGCTCCGGGGGAGTGGGGAAGCCGCCAGCGGGACTCCAGCACCCCCGGTGACGGCAGGCTCGACCACCGGGCAGGAAGCACTCCCAGTGGCCCAGGCCACAGCGAGGTGCCCAACCAGGAGCCGGGCCTCGGGCTGGCACCCCACCCGCCAGATGGACGGTTCCTTTCCGGTTGCTCTTCAGGCTCCAGGACGCTCCCCCCACCAGGGCTCTGACCCAGCAGCAGCTCCAGCTTAATACAGGCACCTGTTTGCTGCCCGGGAAGAGGGGTCTCCGCAGGCTAAGACACCCGCTCGGCCAGCCGGGGACACGCGCTGAGGCACACCTTGCCCCGCGGCTGGCGGGACATCCACAGCCAGGTTGGGACGAGATCAGCCCCGAGGCCCCGAGGGCACACCGGTGTCGGGAGGAGCTCGGCCCAGGAACAGGACGCCGCTTCCCTGAAGGTGCTCGAGGGAACCACGGCCATCAGGCCCGATGAGCGGCCCCTGGAGAGCCCCCCCGGGCCACGCTCCTCCAGTACCAGGTCCTCAGACCCACAACGCTGCTGCCAGGGCTGGTTCTGCTCCAGGGAGAGGGAGGGGGGCTGTGCGAGGCTCTAAGGGTGGTCAGGCACCCGCCCCCCCGCTCTGGCCGCCCCCACACTGCACACCCGGCCAGGGTCCGCCAAGAACAGACTGGGCTGCTTCCTCCTCGCTACTGTCCCTACCCGGGAGACGAGGCCGCCGACGCCCAGAAAAGCAAACGGACTTGCTCGCGGCGGCTGAGCAAGCTGGTGTGAACCAGGACTGGCATCCAGACTGCGACCATCTGGTCCCGCGGCGGATGCGGTGCGTCCCCCTGAGCCGTCGGCACTGTCCCCAGCTCTGCCGCGACCACAAGCAGGGCTCCAGCCAGGTTCCAGGGGACAGCGTGGTCGGTGTCGGCCGGCCCCCTGGCTGCGCTGCACAGACGGCCCCCTCAGGGACCGGCCACCTGCTGGCGCTGAGGACAGGCCGGAACCACAGAGCAGAGCCAGTCACGTGGCAGGAGTGGGGGCAGGACGTCCATCAGAGGTCTGTCTCCTCGGCTCAGAGCCCAGCCGGTCCCCGGGAGCAGCGTCAGGACACGGCCTCCATGAGCCCACGGGACAGAAGCAAAGGCTGTGTTTCTAGGGAGCCGGTGATGGTAGGTAGGTTTGGCCCAGGCCCAGCTCGGGTCTGGGGGGACAGCCAGGCAGTGCTGCCTCCCTCCCGCCCGGCGCCCTCTGCTGTGGGCAGAGAGCCGGGAGCTGTGAAAGCGAACGCCTTCTCTTCTCTGCCGGCAAAGCCCTGCTCCAGTCAAGTGGGGAAAGACCACCGGAGACCCTGCGTTTGTGCTGGAGGACTTGGCCCCTGGGCTTCAAACGGCACCGGGAGGCTCCAAACTCAGGGGTCCAATGCCCAGCCGGGCCGCCCCACCCGGCCAGAATAAGAAAGTAAGTGGGGGGATGTCCAGGGGCGCAGGGACCTGGGGCTGGCTCTGGAACCCATAAAAGCAGGGGGCTGCAGGGCCGGGCTGCAGGGCCCCCAGGGGTCTGGCCACAACACCAGGGAAGCCCTGGGACAGACCCACCACCCGACGGGCCATGTACGTAGGGAGGGCAGGCCCGAGTTGGGTCCGGAACCGCTGCGTCAGGCCAGCTCGCCGTGTCAGGGGCCCTGGGACTCTGCCCTGCCCCGGCCCCTCACACTTCCCTCAGTGTGCCCGACATCACACCCCTGCTCATCGCCCACATGCCCGCCCAGCCCCACCCCCACCTGGCTGGGGCCCTCCGGGGCTGGCTGTCTGCTGAGTGGGCGGGGAGGGGCTGCAGTAGGGGCGGGAGAGGCGGGTTGGCACCAGCAGCCCCCCACCTGCAGCCCACTCGTCCCTCCTCCACCTAAAACGACCAGACCAACCGAGCACGGAGGGCGAGGTGGAGCGCGGAGCCGGCGGCCTCACTTGGAGCTGGGGGCTGAGCGGTCCGCCTGCAGGAAGTGGGCCGGGGCGTAGTTCTGGAAGAGAGGCTGCAGGAACATGCCGACCGTGCCGAAAACACAGACGAAGACGAAGATCCAGAGGAACAGGCGGTCGATCACCATGGCGACATACTTCCAGTCCTCACTCACCTGCGCAGGGCACAGGCCGGTGTCAGTCACATGGTGCTGGACAGCGGCGGGCTGGGGACAGGCAGGTTTCACAACACACATGCACACACGCACACGTGTGTGCACACGCACCTCACTCCTCTCCCTCCGTGACTGCACGACTTTTAAAGCACGGCTCCAAACTTGCCTGCTTAGAAGCCTCTGGTGGCCCCACGGCCTTCAGGGCCCCTCCAGAGTCCAACTTCGGATTCAAGACCTGCCCGTCTTACCATCCTTTTCCACCCTCTAACCCAGACTTACCTGCTTTCAAGTCTCTACGCCTTTGAGTTTCCTTTGCGTCTAGAATTCAGGTCTGCCCTTTCTCTGCCTGGTGAACTCCTACACATCCTCTAAAGCCCAAGTCAAGCGTTACCTCTTCTCTGGAGTGATCTTTCCTGTACTCCTGCTCAGAAAAAACCACTGTCCTCTCTGGGCCCCTCAGCAGGTGGCCACATCTCAATCACCGTGTTTTGACCACACTGCATCACCATGTCCGTTTGCACACCTGCCACCCACCCCCACTCCAGCCAGCCGCGAGTTCCTAACGACGGGGACCTTACCGACTCACTTTGCAATCCCAACCTTCGCAACACAGTCAGTGCCAGTAAACGGGGGTCGGATGACTGAACCAGCAGCTGGTTCTGCAGGCCCCTCCCTCCGGGACCACCTGGGGAATCTAGCCTGACAGCGCTACCTCCAGCGCACAGGCCCCAGAGGGGAGGACTGGCTCCCAGGTGGGACCAATCTGTCAGAAAGAGGATATGGTGTGGGTCTGACAGCTCTCACGGGGTCTGCCCCACTCAGGCCAGAGTCGGGGCCTTTGCACACGTCCATCCAGGGGCCGGGAAGGAGGCCGCTAGCACCTACATTGGGTCAGCCACTGAGGAAAGGACTTGCTCACGCCTGCACCTACCGTGGGCCTGGCACCGGGCCAGGCACAGAGGTGTGAGCAGGAGCCAATGCTGTGGTTTACCATCCAGAAGCAAGAATGAGATAATTACCCTGCTAGATGCTGATAAGGAAACAAACACCTGAGACAGAGAACTGGGGGAAGACACCCTTTAGGGTGTGGTCTGGGATGGCCTCTTTTTTTTTTTTTTTTAAGATTTTGTCTATTTATTTGAAAGAGACAGAGATCACAAGCAGACAGAGAGGCAGGCAGAGAGAGGAGGAAGTAGGCTCCCTATGGAGCAGAGAGCCCAATCCCGGGCTCAATCTCAAGACCCTGAGATCATGACCTGAGCCGAAGGCAGAAGCTTTAACCCACTGAGCCACCCAGGCGACCCTGGAATGGCCTCTTTGAGGAAGGGACACCGAAGGTCACATTGGACCATAAGAAGGCGCCAACTGTGGCAAGAACAAAGTGAAGAAAGAAACAATCACACAAACCCAAAGCGAGGTCCTTCCCCCAGCCAGCACCCGGCAAAATGTTGATGCCGTGAAAAACAAAGCGAAAACCTGTTCCAGACTGGAAAAAAAGAAAAGGATCCAACCTGAGATCCTGGACGGGGCAGAGAGCGCGGCAGTGGGCACCAAAGCTGGAGAAGTTTTTGGTTTTTTTTCTTTTTAAGATTTACTTATTTGAGAGAGAGAGAGAGCGGGTGCACGGCAGGGGCGGGGAGCAGAGGGAGAGAATCTCAAGCCGACCCCAAGCTGCCGCAGAGCCAGATGTGGGGCTCCAACTCATGACCTTGACATCACGACCTGAGCCAAAACCAAGAGCTGAATGCTTAACTGACTGTACCACCCAAGTGCCCCCAAACCTAGAAAACCTTTTTTAAGATTTTACTTATTCATTTGAGAGAGAAAGAGCATGAGTAGGGGGGAGAGGGGGAGAAACAGGCTCCCCACTGAGCCTGGGGAGCCATGGGAGACCAACACGGGGCTTGATCCCAGGATTCTGAGATCATGACCTTAGCCAAAGGCAGACGCTTCGCCATCTGAGACACCCAGGAGCCCCTGGAAAACTTGTAATATGTATTTTATATCAGTTAAAGATGTTATATGGATGTTGAATTTCCTGGATTTGATCATTGATCCTGGATATGCGAGACAACATCCCTATTCTCCAGACAGACACACTGAAACATTTGGGATAGAGGATCACGACCTCTGCAACCTGGGCCCACACCCGGGAGCAAATATTAACAGTAACAATACTTGAAAAAAATTATCTATTTGAGAGAGAGCAGGGGGGAGGGAAGGGGAGGGAAAGCATCTCAAGCAGACAGCCGGCTGAGCAGAGACCAGGGCGGGGTCCAACCCACAACCCTGACATCATGACCTGGGCCGAAATCAAGAGTCGGACGCTTAACCGACTGAGCCCCCCAGGAGCCCCAGCAATAATAGTTTTTTAAAAGGAAAATGAGAATAACGTGTGCAAACATCCTGAGGCACACAAGGCTTTGCTTGCTTAGACCAGACGGCGGGGGGATCCAGTGACCTGAGCCAGGGAGGGAAGGCACAAGGTGAGGGGACAGCGTGGGTTTGGTTGGAGGGCAGAGCTGGCTCAGGAGACTCTGCCTGGGGCCAGGAAGAGCTGGGGAGGGGCGTGCCCACGGCCAGGGGAGCAGCCTGGAGAGCTGAGGAGAAAAGAGAATCTCCTGGAGGGCGGGACTTGGGTGGTGGCGGAAGTGAGAGGGACAAGAGTCAAGAGCCACTCCAGGTGTTTGGTCTGAACCCCTGGGTGGACCGTGACGCCATTTACCGTAAGACGGGGGGACTGCAGGGGAAGCCAGCCGGCGGTGAGGCTGTAGATGGAGCACTGCGGTGTGGACGTGCGAAGTTGGAGCTGCCAGTGCGGCGTCCACGTTCGCCACTGCACGGACCACCGAGCACGGAGCACCGAAGCCCGGAGCCCCAAGAGGGCTGCGGCAGGGGCGGCGGGGGCGTCTCCCCGGGCCTGGTCCTACCCTCCGCGCACGGATCTGCGCCTGGCGGAGCCCTGGCTCTGGATGCCCCCAGCTCTGCCCTCCCTGGAACGGAAACGCCAGGCTCTGAAGCCCCCAGCCCCACCCCCGAGCGGCAGCGCTAGAGCCGCCCTCCCTCAGCCCCGCTCGGAACAGGGCTGCATCCCGGCGGAAACCTGGCCTGTCGCCATGGCCACCACAGCCTCGCCACAGCCTGGAGCGGCCGGTCCGGAAGGCTGACCGCTGGCCCGCAGTACTCGGCCCTTGCGCGGGCTCGGGGCTCCCGCGTCCCCCGCTCTGGGAACCCCCCTCCGCCTCCACCTGTCCCTCCTCCAAAACGATCTCACCAGGCCGTCCCAAAGGCGCAGAAAGGGGATGTGGACGTGCGCCTCTGCCCCCACCCACCTTCGACCGCCCCCAAATCCGCCCCTCGTGGGGCGCGCGAGGGACCCCCCCCGGAGCCCTTTGTGCTGGGAGCTGGGACCACCAGCCACCAGCGCAGACTCGGGGGGAGGGGAGGGGGCAGCGCGGGTTGGGCCTCCAGGGGTCGTGGCCACTCGCAAAGCCTCCTCCGCGTCCGGCCGCCCCAGCCCCCGCGGCTCCGCCTCCTAGAAGCCCGCGGAGGCCGCAGCGGCCGCGCCCCACACTCGCGACAGCCTCGCGCGCCACTCGCCACTCACGCTCTGGTCGTCGTCCTCGCTGCGCACGTGGTCCGCGATGAAGCGCACGCCGTCCACCGCCGCGCGGAGGCCGCAGCCGCCCGCCCCCGGCCCGCCGCGCGCCGCCCCAGAATACGACTCCCCGGGGGCTTCCCGGAAGAGGAGGGCGCCCGCCTCGCGCTCGCGCTGGCGCCGCCGCAGACGCAGGCGCTGGCGGGCGCAGCGGTGACGCGGCTGCTGCATGAAGAGCAGCGCGGGCAGCTTCTCCAGGAAGACGACCTTGACCCAGGGCGCCATGGTGTGCGTGCCGGGCGAGCGGTGGTGCACGTTGAGCACGCACACGCTGGTGACGATGGAGAAGGTGACGAGCACCATGGTGAACATGAGGTACTTGCCGACGAGCGGCACGTCCAGGGAGGTGGGCGGCACGATCTTGGAGATGAGCAGCAGGAAGACGGTGAGCGCCAGCAGCACGGAGATGCACAGCGTCATCTTCTCGCCGCAGTCGGACGGCAGGTAGAAGACGAGCACGGCCAGCGAGGTGATGAGCACGCACGGGATGATGAGGTTGATGGTGTAGAAGAGCGGCTTGCGGCGGATGACGAAGTCGTACGTGATGTCCACGTATGTGGAGTCGTCCGGGTTCTCGTTGCGCCGGCCGGGCAGTGCCACGATGTCCCACTCGCCGCTGGGGGTGAAGTCGTCCAGGCTGGCCACGTCACTCTTGAGTACCAGGTCGATCTCTGTGCGGTCGTACGTCCACGAGCGGAACTTCATGGTGCAGTTCTGCTGGTCGAACGGGAAGTGCTTCACCTCGATCTTGCAGGCGCTCTTGTAGATCGCGGGCGGCAGCCAGAAGATGCTGCCGTCGTAGGAGACCACGGCGTTGGAATAGAAGGACACCTCATACATGCCGTCAGCACTGCCGATGGACGAGCAGGGTCAGCCCTGGCTCACGCTGTTCCCGCGCCCCGCCCGTCCACCCAGCGCTGAGCGGGAGGAGGGGAGAGCCAGGTCTGAGGGTAAGCATCCAGGAGCATGGAGAGGTGGGGCAGGAATTGAGCAGGAGGGGGGAACTGGGTGAGTTGGTGGTCAGGAGGTCCCTGAGGCCTTTTGGAAGCTGAGGAGGGTGGGTGACGGGCACGCCTGCTGCTTGTCCTGCACTGTGCAAGCTGGTTGCTCCCCAAGGCTGGCGGAGAAGTTGGGAGAGCCAGGGAAGCCAGAGTAAGGAGCCCCAAGCAATGAGAGGGACAGGTGCAGCGGGAGCAGGAAAGGCACCCACTAATGATAGGGGATCTTGAAGGAGATGGGATTTTTGTTGGAAAGGGGATGGAACCCAAAGGAGACACTGGGGCCTCCAGGTTTTGATCCTGAACAATCCTCCAGGAAAGCCTATTCCTGAATCAATAGGGCCCTGGGGCTGTCAATCCTTGTCTGTATCCCACTGCTGCTCCCAACGGTGGGACTCGGATTTGGAGGGGAGGGAACTGGCCATGGCCCAAATCACCCTGGAGTCCTTTGGGTTCTCCACATTACACCTCACTAATCTGGGTCTGTCTCCTGCATAGTGATTGTGTCTGTGCCAGCAAGAAGTCCCTTCTGCCCCGCTGCATTTACTTTCCCTAAGACCCCATCCCTCCCAGAGCACTCCTGTGGTCTCCTCCAGTCTTCCCATTGCTCCAAGGCCACCTACTTGTTGTACAGAACTACATCTGGGAGCCAGATATGTTTGGACGGGAGCCGAACTTTCTTCATGTTGTCAAACTCCTCAGGCTTCCAGGTGAGCCGATAGTCCTCCCACTCCTGGGAAAGGGAGAGAGGTAACCTTACAAAGCTGAGGCTCAAGGTCAGGGATGGGGGTGGTGGTGGTTCTGGCTTGAGGAGGCTTTGAACATCCATCCCCTCCCCACAGTGACTTCTCTGCCCAGCAGATGTGGCTGGTAAGATACTTTCTCATTTAATTTGCACATCTAAACCAAGATATTAGAATCTACATTTTACCAATAAGAAAATGAATCTCGTAGAGGTTAACATGATCCGAGTCACAGCCGGTGAGTGGAAGCACCACGCTTCCGGGCCAGTTGTTCGGCTCTCCAGAGTCTGTACCTTTCTGCCTTTTTTTGAGGAGATTAAAAGACGGGAAAGCACATGCAAAAAACCCAAGGAGGGAAGAGCAGAGCAGGGGTGCGGACTGGGGCAGGATGAGCACTAACCTGGGTCAGCCAGACATTTGTGGTCATGATCTGCTCCCGCTCATGCTACAGGGAAGAAGAGAAGCTGTTGAGGAGGCCGTCCAGCCTGCAGGCCCGCCCCAGCCACCCACGGTCCTTCCCATACCTCCCCGAGCCGGGGGGCTCCAGAGAGGTAATTCTGGCTTTTCTGACCTCAGCTGGGCAGAGTTTGGGACCTGCACTCACCACACTAATGAGCTGGGCCAGGGACACCATGAGCTGCACGGTCACTAGCTCAGAGCCATTGGCGGCCGGGCGGATGAGCTTGTTGTACCGGGAGGGGTCCAGGAGGTGTTCCACCAGGCGCTCCTCTGTGTCTGTACCCCAGACTCCTGGGCAGGGGGGCGGGAGGCAGGATGAAGGAAGTAGGCAAGGAGGGCCCACCTAGCATCCCACTCTCCTTAGGCAAATGGGGCAACCAGGCCAAAACAGGAGCTTCCCACCACTCCATCCTAAAGATACAGCAAAATGCTTCAGTTATCCCATGAGGGCCCCGCAGAGAGAAATTCTTCTCTGAGATCACCAACCAGGGAGACCAGACAGCCTCACACAGATGTCTCCAGACTAAAAGTCCACTCTATAAGGATTAGTGGAGACCCACTCTTCCTGCGAGCTCTCAGGCTGTGGTTTCAAAAGACTTGAGATTTCTTTTCCTTTTTTTTTTTTTTTTTAAAGATTTTGACAGAAACACAGCAAGAGAGGGAACACAAGCAGGGGGAGTGGGAGAGGGAGAAGCAGGCTCCCTGCCAAGCAGGGAGCCTGACTCAGGGCTTGATCCCAGGACCCTGGGATCATGACCCAAGCTGAAGGCAGACACTTAAACAACTGAGCCACCCAGGTGCCCCTAGACTTGAGATTTCTTGCTTTCGTGGCTTCTCCTAAAAAGTCCCTGTAGTTCAAGGAGGGTTTGGGATGGTGGGGAAGGTGCCCCACCTCAGCTGGGTCCATCTCTGTACACAAGTAACATTATGCACTTCCACCTGTGATGTGGGCTGTGACCCCACTCCACACCCACCTTCACAGGCACTGGGTTGGAGTGGATGGCTGGGCTGCCTGTGCTGTGGATCTGAACATGTATCCAGTCCCAAATTCCACACATAGGGGAGCCCACCTCCCGTGAGATGGCATGCAGGTGTGGGAAGCTTGTTTAGCTGCACAATCCCTTTGTACCCGCCCCTGCACAGACTCTCTCTCCTACGGCTCTGCACAGATGTACCCCCAGCCCTCAGAGCTCCTTCCTGGTGGCCCTCAGCCTGGCAGAGCACCTTCCCTTCCAAGCCTTCCATCCCACCCTACAAGAGAGTTGAGAAGCCACTTTTCTCCCCTTCCTGTCTTGCCCCTGTGGAGTGGCCAGAATCGGGAGCCCAATGTAGGACACAGGAAATGATGCCAAGGGAGGGTGCCCATCCAGGTAGAGTTCTGGAGATAATGTTTCACGGGAAGTCAATGGCATCCGGTCGCAGAGCGAGCCCTCCTGCCACCCCAGAAAGCCTGGGGAGACCGCCTCTCCCTTCCCTCCCCATGCCCATACCCTCCCCACCGCCATTGCCCGGATCTCGCTTGCTTCCTTGCATCGCCTACTCCTTCCGGGATGTCCTCATCCCTGCGCGGTCGCCCTGGCGTCCCCCTGCAGGCTCGTCCACCTCTGGGGGTCCCCCTTGCGGCCTGGAGCCCGGTCCTTACCTGCGCGCAGCCCGAGGAGGCCGAAGCCCAGCAGCAGCGCCGCGGGGCCGGAGCGCCGGGCCATGCCGCGGGCGGGGTGCTGTCCGCGGTGCTGAAGCCGCGTCCGCGCCGCGGGAGGGTCCTGCGCTCCCGGGGCTGCGGCGAGGCGGGGCGGCGGGCGGCGGGCGGCGGGCGGCAGCGGAGGGAGCCGGCTTCTCGCTCGCCCCGGCCGGAGCCGGCGGACGCTTTTCCGGCTGCTCTTCCAGGGAACACAACGCGGACCGGGAGAGGGAGGAGTCTCCGCCCCGGAGGCGGAAGCGCCGAAGCCCAGGAAAAGAGGGGGTCCCTGGGTAGGACGTTCGTTGCTCAGCGGGTCACCGGACGGGGGCGTCCTGGAGCCCCGAAGTTGGGGCAGGACCTGAAGGACTCTGAGAAGGGCGGAAAGAAGCCGCGCCAGTAAGACAAATAGGTCACGACCCGCTCAGCGCAGGGGGGCCGAGGGCCCGAATGAGGGGCGGGCGTCGGGAGCAGTTTCTGGGGCTCCCGCCCTCCTTGCTCGCTCCTACCAGTCCGCATGCTCCCGCTTCCTTGGAAGGCTCAGGGAGAACGCCTTTAGACCTTTCCGGAAAGAGAGAGGGACTGTGGGTTTGCTGTTTCTCAAAAGCAAACAGCTTTGGAGTCTGGAAACAGAATCCGTCACCTGTCCCCTTCTCTACCTCTACGGACTCCCTCGAAGGCCAACCTTCCTGCCCTCCCCGGGGTTGGGGGGGGGGGTCTGAAGAGAGGGCAGCCTTCAATGCTGGAAGGGTAAGTGGCTTTGCTCCCCTCCCTTCCACTCCAGTCTTTGGCTTTTGTGCAACGGAGGGAGCAGAGGACCGTTTCTCAGAGGCTCCAGAACAAAGCTAACCTACAGGAGAGCTCACATGAGCCAGAGGGTTGGCCACTTGATGACATCTTTGACCATGAAAGCCAGTTAAGTCCTCCTTTCTCTTCTTGGGTGGATTTTTGTCACTTACAACCAAGACTCCTGACTCAAGCAGCCTTACCATACGTCCAGCTCCAAGTCCCTCTCTGCCTACTTTTTCAACCCCATCTGGGCCACTCCACCCGTCCACGCTCCAGCTTCCAGTGAGGCCTTCCAGACCGTGAACACTACCTGCCCCACCCCTGCCCCATCCTCCATGGTCCGGGGCGTTTCAACATGCCATTCCCTCGACTCTCTTGTCACCTGTTTCCCCTCAACTAGTTAACCTTGAACATTTGACAGAAATGTCATTTCCTCAAGGAAGCTGTATCTGTCCAAGGACTAAGACAAGTGCTCTGCTGTTTGCAAATGGTGTCCAGTGGCTGAAGGAACCACGCTAAAGCAGTGGTTGCCTCTGTGGCCAGGTTCTGAACCAGAACAGCGCCAGGCTTGTCATGAAGACTCAACAAAGAAGAAAAGGGGCTAGTGTAGGCCTGACATCTTCTAGTGTGTATGGGAAAATTCCTTTTAAAGTTCGGCTAAACCTTCTTCAATACCCAGTATCATCACACTCATTTGGACATGAATTATACTGTGGTTTAAGATTTAAGGAAATCAGGATATTTATTTTTCTTTAAAGTAAAATGTTACTGAGGTCATGGTTTCCAAGAAAAAGCTCCCTCCACCAGCCCATTGCCTTGACACAACCAATGACTACTTTCTCTGTACCAGGTATTAGCTGTTCTCTCCATAACGGCCCTGTGTCCTTTATAACCCTTTCTTCTTGTCAGCTAATACTTGATGTTTTAATCAGCTGTTGCCTATTACTCTCAGTGATGGCTTATACATTGGCTTCATACTGCATGGTCTTTTATAAGTTTTTGATTTTGTGTTTATTTTCATTACAAATATGGTCTATGTTTATTGTAAAAAATTAAATACATAAATAATCCAAAATAAATAAATCCAAGAAACTGCTATTTAAAAAAATAAAACTCAGCTAAAAGGAACATATTTAACACGTCCTCAGTTCCTGAAATTGAAGAGCGAAAACAAGACAAGTACCAGAAAAGAAGTGGGTGGCCAGGGGCCTGTGATGCACGTGGCAGTGGGCACAGACCTGCACCACAGGCTCCAGGACCAATGCCTATGTGTAACAATCTCCTGAGAATTAAATCTTGGAAGCGAGGAAAGGCATGGAGAATAAAGCCTTAAAAAAAAGAGAAGAAATGTGTGCAAGCATTCCATTTGGCGGAAGGGTTGGAGGTGGGAAAAAGACCCAGCTTCAACAGCCCGGATCGATGTTGGCTGAGTATCTGCTGCTTTTCAAGGATGTACAGGTGTTGAGGATACAGTGATCAAAGCACCCGGCCAATAAGGAGGTCACAGTTTGTCGGCAAAGGCTTACTGCTCAGTGTGATAGGATTGTGGACAAGGTGCTACAAGAAGGGGAAGGTCATAGTGCCCAAGCTTCTGCGGGAAATGCAGCCGAAACTGAGATTTCCGAGAGGAGGAAGCCGGCAAGACAAGGTGGCTTAAAGGTATTTCAAAGTCCTCAACAAGAGGGCCAGGGAGCTGTGCACGAAGATGTACTTAGGACTCAGGTTTTTCTCTTGGTGGATGCGGGGTGACTGAGGAAGGCTGTGAGTGTCCTCTTAAGAAAATCTCTCTAAAGTGGCTTCTTATTTCTGGGATGACGGACCGGAGGGTCCTGTGCTTGCTTGAAGCCCTGTGCTGCTCCCCTTGGTCTCTGTCTTCACAGATTCCCCAGCTTTTGCTCCCAGTTTTTTATTTTATTTTTAAGTAAAATATGAAATGCTTCATGAATTGGCAGGTGAGCCTTGCACAGGAGCCATGCGCATCTTCTCTGTATCGATCCAAATTCAGTCTATGTGCTGAGAAGCGAGCTCCCCTTCAAGCTTAATTCCAGCCCTGCAGAGGTCCTCTGAGTACAACCATTGGTGCCCAGGAGAGTGGGGCCTCCCTCCCTCATGTCTCCCACACACAGTCCTCCCACCCCCACCAGAAAGAAAGGCAGTCAGGGAGAGAGAACGGGGCCAAAACCATGCCCAAAACCATGGACAGATCTAGAAGGGTCAGCCCTGAGGCAAAATGGTGGGCAAAGTTCTATGGGTACACTCCCATTGTCTCTGATGGTAAGGAACTTTTTCTCTTGGGAGGCACTACAATTAATGCTGCTTTCCTTTATTTACGTTATTTTTTTTTAAGATTTTATTCATTTATCTGCCAGAGAAAGAGCACAAGCAGGGGTAGCAGCAGGCAAGGGGGAGCAGCAGGCTCCCTGCTCAGCAAGAAGCCCAACGTGGGGCTCGATCTCAGGACCTCAGGTCATGACCTGAGCCCAAGGCAGATGCTTTACTGACTGAAACACCCAGGCATCTCAAGTTACTTTAACTTTAAAAACTACTTAACTGTTAAAAACTATTACCAGAGGGGCGCCTGAGTGGCTCAGAGGGTTGGGCCTCTGCCTTCAGCTCAGATCATGGTCTCAAGGTCCTGGGATCGAGCCCCCATCAGGCTCTCTGCTTAGCGGGAAGCCTGCTTCCCCCTTTCTCTCTGCCTGCTGCTCTGCCTACTTGTGATCTCTGTGTCAAATAAATGAATAAAATCTTTAAAAAAAAAAAAAAAACTATTACCAGAGTAATACATACACATGAAAACCACCTGGAAAACACAAATTAGCAAAACAAAGTAAAAAAGATTCATGGTCCTTCCTCCTAGAGGAAAAGACTGCTAACACTTCCCATATAAATATCTAATTTATACATTAAAAAGATATTTTTATTAAATAAAATAAAATTATTTATTAAATAACCATAAAACAACATCTACAGAGAAGCTATCTATATAGCAGATGCCTACATAGACAGGTAGGTCTCGTGTATCTCCAAACTTCTGTGCACTCAGAAACGGCACACAAAACACACATAAATTGCAAGTGTACGACTGAATTTTCACAACATGAACACACCCTGCCTGGGCCAAGCCCTCCCCTTGTCTGCCCTTCCCCCGTACCCTTCTTCCCGGTCTCCTTCTACTTTGGGGCCTGGTTCTTTCAAACTGTCCTCCCATCTCCACCGAAGTAACTTCTTCACCTTCCTTTCTGGGAGCTGACCCTGACGGGTATCACCATTCAATGCCCTGACCGCTATGAGCCCCAGACCTGTGTTCGTAAGGCTGTATTACAGTTGACTCTATCTACCTGCCGTTCGCCCATGACCTTGCGCTCCTGAGGGCAGGACCCAGCGAGTACCAGCTGTCGTGGCAGGAGCCTGCCCTGTGTGCCAGGAGTCACCACCCCCCAGGGCCTCTCCGGCTCCCGGGAGCAAGTGAAGGGAGAGAGCCGCTCGCTACAGCCGGGACAGGGTATCTGCTCACTCTGAGAACACAAGCCCATTTGGAGAAAACAGAAATCTCGACAACTCATCCTCCACAGAGCAGGCAGAATGACTCTCCCCACTGCCCCGTGTCCTGCCCTCTCCTTGCCCTGGACTCCCGGGACGCTGACCCGCCGCTCCCCCAAAACTGCCGGTCTTCACCACGAGCGCCGGATGCCCCCGCCACACCCTGCTGCCGGAGCAGAAGCTAAAGCACAAAAGCCGCGCAACCCGCCTGGGTCCGCTCTTCCTCGGTCCTCAAGGAACGCCCACGTCCGCGGACCGGCTTCGAGTGTCGGCCAGGCCTAAGGCGCTGCCCGCCTCAGCGGCGTCGCTCCTTCTGGCCCTTCCTTCCCCCCAACTCGGTGGGCAGGGAAGTGAGGACGGGCCGGCTCTCCCCGACCTCCCAATCAGCGCTCAGCCTGGGGAGTCCAGGGCCTCCCAGATCACCTGTGCCGCGTCTGCTTCCCAGGGGAATGCAGGCCCCACCCAAGTGCACGGCCTCGTTTCACTCACTCCTGCTTCCCTAGCGCCCGAGGGTCCACTCCGGGACTGTACCCATCATCTCCGTCCACATCTAACGCCCCTGCCCCCCACGTTTCAGCAGAACCTGGACAGGACTACGCCCTCGGCTTCCACTCGAGGGCTCTCCAGCCTGAGCCGCGACGCCCAACACCGCGGCGGGGGAAGACCGCGTTCCCTGCTCCCTGATGACTGAGTTTC